TTTAATTTAATATTATAATACTACAAAATTTTTAATTATTTTAATCACCATTTAATTTGTGTTTTATTTTGGCAATTCTAATTTTTTTAAAACTAATTTTAATATTATACGTAGCAATATTAATTATTTAATTAGAATAATAATATAATATTGATAACTAACGCAATTTTATGCAATATTTTAACATCGAAATTCATATATCTAAATACGATATTAAAAATTTCTTTTTCTAATATTCAAGATTTTAATATAATTTTGAATAAAATAAATTTTACATTATATTTTGATAATGCCAAATATTACAAAATTTTAACTTACAACAAAATAAGATGCACGCAATTTTGCGAGAAATTATTGTGAGTATTTCGATTGGTATCCAGATGATTAATTCCTCATCAAGGATAGGAGGGAAGGGGAGGTCTGAGGCAGAGGAAGCGGAAGGAAAGTGTTAACGATTTAAGGCGAAACGAATCAATTTTTTATAATGGCGTGAGAGAGAACGAGAGATAGGGAGGCACGAATATTAGAATTCTTGATCAATTTCGAAGTCTGTATATATTTGCGACGACAACGTAAGAGAATGTGAGAGAATAGAAGAGAGGCAGTGTGAAAGAGACAGATATGCGAGACATTTGCGCGAAATAATTTGACGATTTTGTTCTGGGGATTGAAACCGTATTATTCCGATGTTAACATTACGTGAAAATGGAAGTGCTTTTTCTCCATATCTACGTGTAATAGCGGAAAATCATACAAATTTCAATCCCTATTTTACTCCACTTATCGCGCATGTATACTCTTGAAAAATTTCCGAACATGATAACGAAATTTTTGAAACTTTAAACTTATTGCAGCACTAATTATGAAAGAGACAGATATGCGAAATCAAAGATGATTGTATCATACTGCAGAACAAATACAATTGTAATTAGCAAATCATTGTTTTTAATCAAATATTTATTTACTTAAATATAACAAGAAACGGCAATATGCGGAAATGTTTCGGGAGTAATGTACATATATGCGCGCATATTCTATTTTCTTATATAAATTGTCTTACAATTAATTTCGCACAAATTTTTGAAATTATGCTTAAATACGATTACGTCGATTTGAACAAAAGTGCAAGAGCACTTGTTTTATTATCGGTTTACATGACAAAAGAATTTCGAGGAAATATATTGAATAGGAAAGTGCTAAAATTAATAGATACAAAAAAAATTTGCGATTGAGATTATTAGAGACAAAAATTTTTTCACACACGTTTATCTTCTTCCACATATAACATTTCTATATATATGCTAATTATTGTTAATTTGTTCTTTTAACTTCATAATTCTTATATTTTTTTTTACAAAATAGTTGAAAGGACTATGCAACGTCCACGGTGATGCTTTGCCAAATTTTGCATTTCGCCGGGTTATACATTATACACTAATATATATAACACGTATACGTGCGAGTTGCAACCATGACTGTAACAAAAACGTCATTTTCAAGCATCATCATACCGATTACTATGATTGTCATTGCTATTGCTCCAGCATTTAATCCAAATTATACATTTGGAAACTTTGTGATATGCGATGATTGAGTGAAGAAACAGAAGAGAATGAAATAGAGAGGAAGTTGTGTGTGTGTGTGTGTGTGTGTGTGTATGTGTGTGTGTGTGTGTGTGTGTGTGTGTGTGTGTGTGTGGGGGGGGGGGG